AACAATTCACACAAGCAGCCTTAGGTTCAAGCTTGCATGAGGTTTGTAGGTAAGTACCCTCTTGAAGTTTAGTTGGCTCAACCTGTCTTAGATAAATAACTGGGTTCTAGGGAATCTCAATATCACCGATCTTTCTTCACCGGGAATTGTTTCAGCGCAAACCTCTTTATTGGCGACCGAAATATCCCGGAAGTCAGATCTCAATGAGTGTAGTATCGAGTATCAACCAACTTTGAACTCCACCAAAGCCGGATATCTCACTACTTCCTAATGACCAAGTTGGTTCAATTAAAGGTTCTAAGGTCAGTTGGTACTTCATGACACCACATAGCGGCTCCGTACTCTCCTTAACTACTCAAGGGCTACCGGTACCAATAAATGTGTCACGCCAATGTAGCTATCGTTTCAACCATGTCGGTATACCCCACATAGTCCCCACGATCTATTGCTACTTATCTAAAAGGTGCCCCAGATCCGGGTGTAGGATCTTTACAAGTAAACCCAAGCAAAACCCTTTAAGATAAAGCAAACAAAACATACAAGAAAAAGAAATTTTAAAATGAACTAGACTCTTAGGTAACCCCACTTTTTATTTTCCCCAGCAGAGTCGCCAGTTCTATGATACGGTGGCAGAACCGACTATTATACTGGTTTTGCGTTTGTATTCGCAAATGTTGCGGTAAGCAAGAGTCGACATCAACCTTTATTTTATACAAATTAAGGAAAGGGTGAAAAGAATAGAAAAATACCTTTTCGAGAATTTTCTGAGTAAGGGGGGTAGGTTATGGAAAGGGAAGTTGTTAGCACCATTTCTATCCGTAGTTTTTTACGGGCTCTTAGATGCTTAGCTCATTTTTAAAATACCTTTTGCTTTGCGCTTTGAAAAAAGATAGTTTTGAGAATGCCTTAGTGCGGCGATTCGCTTTATGATAACTCTTGTATCAGTCCTCAAGAGTGTTGACAAAGCGAATGTTTTTGAAAGTATTTTGAAATGTGTAAGTGTAAAAAGTTTGTTTTATTTGAGCAAGCATCTAACAACTATCTACTTATACTCGAAAGGTTTGTTCTTTTCCTCCTATCCTTTAGACAACGCTATCCTACTATTAGTGAGTAGGTAGCCCTTATGTTGGATGTTTGAGGGACATTCGAAGGACGATTTATAGTCACAAAAGTAACTGGGCAAGAAGTTTTAGTAACTACTCTAGGGTTCTAAGATCATATTTTTACCGAGGCAACATCGAGAGGGTCATCGAGGGACTTATAATCTTTTTAAACCAGAGGGTAGCCACTAAAACCTCTCACGTTTCGAGAGTTGTGACTATTTTCTGAAGGCAACCGAAGTGGGATACCCTAGAGGTGTATATGTGTAATGTGTGTTATGTTCAGTAATTTTAATCTTTAAATTTAAGTTTGCTAACGTTTGATTTTAGTCTTATCATACAATCCTATTAGTATACATCTAAGCAGTTAATATATGTACATGAATTAAAAGTGAGGAAATGTGAATCCTACGCTATTACATGGCTTCGGGGATTAATTACATGTCCAAAACTTGGAAAAAACAAAGAAAAGCGGTAAATAGTCCTAATTAATTTCTATTATATCTCATGAGCAGTTACAGTAATATGAAAAGTGCGAAAATAAATAAATGCGCGCATCTAAAAAATTCTAGGGAAATGAAATCTTTTGTTTGTTTTTATTTTATTTTAAGAAAATAAAGTCTAAGTCTATTTAGTTTTAATTTTAAGAAAGATGTTAAAGTAATTAAATTAATTAGTTAACAAAAATAATTTTAATTAAAAAAGACTAGACTTATTTTTGTGATTTTTTGTTTTAATATTAATAAAACATGAAAGCAAAAAATAAAAGAAATAAACAAAACCAAAAATAAGAAAATGAAAAGAGGTTTTTTCGATCCAAGAAAGGAAATGATCTTTCGATCCTGGGAAAGAAATGGTACTTTCGACCCAAGGAAAGAAAATATCTTCTTCGATTCAGGGAAGGAAGTTATTCCTTTCGATCTGGGAGAGGAAGAGATTTTTAATCTAGACCTGCAAGACAAATATTAGCAAAAAATATGACCTGGGTGTCGAACCCAAGTCCTTCGATCCTACGTATATTTGTTTATTTAGGTCAGATTTGCAGTATGGGCGTTAGAGATAAAAGAAAACAAAAGTGGACCTGGTGTCGAACACATGCCCTTAGCTTTGAAACCAAATCGAACAGAGTTACATGATATCCTGAGCGTGAATCAAGCACTGAACAAACATTAATACATTATGAAACGATAGATATGAATTTGAAAAGTTTACCAACGATATGAGGCTTTGATTTAGTACTTCTAGGCGTGAATTGGCTAATACTTGGGAACGTCTCCTGCAAACTTCAAAGAGTGAGTGGGGCGTTATTGGAGATTCCTTCAATTTGGACCACTTATGAGATTTTTGTAGATTTAGTATGGCTTATGAGGCAACGTGTACGTGCGAGACAGTGTATAGGTGTAGTTTCTGGGCTTATGTCTCCAATGTGTGTGTGTATCTGGTCCTTTTCTTTGGCTGGTGTTAGTGTCTTATATTTATAGAGGTGAGAGGAGACAAGAAAATGGGGAAATAATTATGTCCTTAAAGGCTAGCCATTAAACATAGATTTAAAGACAAAATCAGACCAATTTAAAGATTGCCATTTAGAGAATTTTCATGCCACTTTGAAATGTTGAGTGAACCTGGACATGTTTCACCTTCGAATGCCTTCAATCGCTGCCCTTCGATTGTCTATGAGTTGCTTCCTTCGAATGGCTCAAGTCTTTCCCTTTGATTGACTCTGATTTACTTCCTTCGAATGGCTCAAGTCTTGCCCTTCGATTGACTCTGAGTTACTTCTTTCGAATAGCTCAAATTCTCATTATTGGGGCCTCTTCGATTGAGCCCCTACTCAACTAGCCTAAACGAAAACTCTTTCTTGGCCAATCGAAGCTTCCTTTGGCATGAATGTGCTTGTGCAGGAAGCTTGAGTATGGCAATATGTGGGATTTTGGGCCAGCCAACATATTTGCATATTTCTCTTTCATTTTGACCAACTAGATCTAATCTTTCACCAAACCCTTTTTTCAGACAACACTATGTGTCCTTCGAATGGGCCTTTGAATGCTTCTTCGAATGGATCATTTACATGTCCTTCGAATGGTTCCTTCAATTGGACCCGTTTATTTGCCTTAGTTGCTTGATTCAAATAGCCCAAATGAGAACTTCATTCTGGCCAATCGAAGCCTCCTTTGTCACTTCCTTTGAATGCCATTGCGCATAAGGCTTGGGCCTGGCAACATGTAGGACCAAGACTCATCATAAGACAAACTTGCATTCAGTAACTATGTGTCTCCTTCGAATGGCCACCAATGTGTGTCCTTCGAATGGACCTTTGGAGTGCTCTTTCGAAGGGGTCATATTGTGTGTCATAGTGTAGAAACTGTGTTGAGGGGTCTTGGCCTTGTGCATTGAAAACCAACATAGAGGAAGTCTTTGCCTTGTGCATTAAAGACAATCATAGAAGAAACCTTTGCCCTTGTGGATCCAAGACAAGTCTGAGGAAGCCTCTACCTTGTGGATTCGAAGTCCAGTTGAAAGGAGCCTTTGACTTAGTGAATCGAAGGTTGCATGTAGAGGCTCTTCACCTTGTGAGTTGAAGGTTGCATGTAGAGGCCTTTCACCTTGTGAGTCGAAGGTTGCATGTAGAGGCCTTTTCCTAGTGAGTCAAAATAAACTTGCAGGAAGCCACTGCTGGGGAATCGAAGGGAACTTGAAGGGGGTTCTTGCCTAAATGAAACTTGGACCAAGGCTTGCTCGAAGGGGAACCAACACGCAATAAAAGCTGATGGGCCAATGCTTGATCAAAGGGTTTTAGATGCCCATCGAAGCTTGTTGACATGTTAATCGAAGGGCATTTGGTTGACATTCCAATCGAAGGACATTTGGTTGACATGCCAATCGAAGGACACTGTTCAGATGTCAATCGAAGGACGTTGTTGATATGTCAATCGAAAGACACTTGACCATCATTCAAAAAAATTCATTTTCTTTAGGTAAGTGTTTGTAACCATCCATGTAAGAGGAAACCTTGGGAAACATGAGAGGACAAATTTTGGGATACAACATCATCTTATACAAAAAATAGACACTCAAATTAAGAAATAAGTGACCTGGAAAACATTATGGACAAGATACCACATCCCTTTCCTCAGCCTCACCCCTTGTGGTCCATTTTCAAATATATCCATACAACATTCATTTTAAAACAAATTTTATTTATTAAGACGACAACCATTTTGAAACATGGAATACTTTTATTAAAATAATCGTATAAAATTTTCTCAAATGTATATCATATAACTGACATCGTATTATATTAACACAATGCTTCTACAACCATATGCATTACGTATTTAATTTGAAAACAAATTGGTGTTGCAGACAAGTAATTAGGGATGTTCATTGTATAGTTTGTGGGAAAATTGAATTGAATCGAACTAAACTATAGTAAAAATTCACTCAATCTGAACCGAACCAAATCAAAATTATTAGTTTATTATACCGTTTTGAAATTGCAAACTGTTAAAAGACAATTTTTCTCAAACCGAACCATTTATTTTTCAATTTTTTTTAAATTTTTTTTAATTTTTTTTTAAATTTTATTTAAATTTTTTTAAATTTTTTTTAAAAAATTTTCATTTTCAATTTTGAATTGGTCCAATTTTAGTTTCAATTCGATTCAATTTCAATTTCGATTTGATTTTAAAACTTTGTACATTATAAATTGGTTTACTAATCAAATATAAAAAAGTTCAATTATTATAACTTTTCAATTCGAGTCGATTCAATTCTTGGATTTTTTGAACAAACCCAACAAGTAATTAAAAAGTAAAAGTGTAGGGTCAACTTTTTGTGTTAATAAATCATTCATCTATAATAATGCAGTAAGATGATTGGACCGCTCAAAATAATTGGTTTATGATAAGAATAAACAAGGGAAAGTGGTTTGGGAACCCAAGAAGAAAATCTAAAATGAGGAGGCTTAGTTCGCTTTACAGTGGCCATATCACCAATACTATATTTCTGGTTGCACTTCTTCTGTTACACTTACACAATTCCTCTACTCAACTTATCCTTGCAAATTCTACTTCCATCGTCAAGTTCCTTCCTGGTTTTCAAGGACCTCTTCCTTTTCTACTAGAAAGTGGCTACATTCAAGTTTCTGAAACTGAAACTGATGACACAGCTGAAGTTTTCTATTATTTTATAGAGTCTGAGAACAATCCTAAGGAGGATCCTCTCTTGCTTTGGCTAACCGGCGGTCCTGGTTGCTCCTCCTTTACTGGTCTAGCCTTTGAAATAGGTATCCGACACACGAAACACGTATAGTTAGATGCTTATTATAAGTTATAACTACTTGGTGTCACTGATGTTTTAGGTCCAATAACATTTAAAAACGAGGAATACAGCGGAAGCTTACCGAATTTGGTATTGAAGGCTCATTCATGGACAAAGGTATAGTGTACATTCAACATGCATCAGTACTTGTTCCATTGAACTGATTTTCTTTGTATTTAATTTATGCTTTGATCAGGTAAGTAGTATTATATTTTTGGATTTGCCTGTTGGAACTGGATTCTCTTATCCCAATACAGAAAATGCTGCTCAACAAAGCACATCGAAGCTTGTTCGCAATGCTCATCAATTTCTTCTAAAGGTATTTAGTTTTTCATCTATAATAGCATCCTTTTGCGGTTTGAGATTGGAATAAAACAATCTGTAATATATGCACGCAGTGGCTGATTGATCATCCAGATTTTATCTCAAATCAAGTGTACATTGCTGGTGACTCGTATTCGGGCCTTCCTGTCCCAATTATTGTTCAAGAAATTTCTTATGGTAACAACATTGAAATTGAAACTAACAATCTGTAGTTAAAGATTTGCTTTTGCTTAAATTTTTTTTTCCTATAGGAAATGAAGGTGGTTTACAACCATGGATAAACCTTCAAGGATACATACTAGGAAATCCTGTAACAAAGGTGTACAACAAAAATTACCAAATACAATTTAATCATGGCATGGCAATTATTTCTGATGAACTTTATAAGGTGATTTTAATTTTATGAATCAATGATCGTAATTGTTCTGATAGACTTATATTTTGTTGATGAATTCTCAATGGTGAATAATATTAACAAAAAATATTTTGTTTATGATAATAGTCGCTACAACAGAACTGTGGAGGCCAGTATAGAAAAATAGATCCTGAAAACGTGCTTTGTCAAAAAGACATTCAATCCTACGAAGAGGTAAGTTGCATATAAACATTGTGTTGATTCTGTCATCTGATTTTAGAATAATAATAATAATAGTGTTAAATTGTTTATGTTTGTACAATAATTTGTTCCTATATTATCTTATTTAACTACTCTATAAACATAACAAGCTAATCCAAATTGAGCTATTTTGTTGTTGTTGTTGTGATTCCTCAGACTATTTCAGGAGTGAATGTAGTTCATATTTTGGAACCAGATTGCGGTGTTGATTGGCATGATTCACGTGAACTTTCTAGAAAAATGCTTCTCATTACAAATGCTTCTCTCAAACTGCCACCTTTAAGCTGTCGGGTATATTCTCAAACCGCCATGTTTAGTTATATAGACTATACATAAACTAAATACACTATATATCATGTGAAATTTCCAAATGTTACATCATTTTGAAAATTCTTCTTTTTCCATCGATAGACTTACGGATATTTCCTTGCTGGCTATTGGACTAACAATGAGAATGTTCGCAATGCATTACACATTAGAAAGGTATGTATATTTATATTTCTTGAGAAAAAAAATATGTATTGTAACATTTGTGCAATTCAGGGAAGTATAAGGAAATGGAATCGATGCAATTATGGCATCCCTTTTAAGCACGAAATTATTAGCAGCTTCCCGTATCATGCAAATCTTAGCAGAAAAGGCTATCGTTCATTAATATACAGGTCAGTATTTTTATTAATAATGTTTGGATTCACGTTGAAACAATAAAAATCTATAAAGAGTAGCTTCTTCAAAATCAAATTTATGTTAGATTAGACATTCTTCCAAACACTCACTACAGAATTTAAATTGTGTGATTCTAAGTCAAAAAAATTTCACAGCGGGGATCATGACATGATGGTTCCATTCTTGGATACTCAAGCATGGATAGCATCTTTAAACTACTCCATAGTGGATGATTGGAGGCAATGGTATTCAGATGGTCAAATAGCAGGGTATATATATGTCATAACTATAAGATAATAATTCATATAATACTACTTACATTAATCTTTTCAATATTTAATTATTATGGATAGATACACAAGAACTTACTCAAATCGAATGACATTTGCGACTATAAAGGTAATAATTTTAACAACATACAATTAAGAATACATATATCATACTAATTAATTTTCATATTCATATATAAAATTGTAGGGAGGAGGACATACAGCTCCGGAGTACAAGCCAAAAGAATGCTTCGCCATGTTTAGTAGGTGGCTATCTAATAAGGAACTCTAAAAATTATATAAGATTCACCTGAGTCTAACTCACGTGTTCCACAAAAATTGATTTGTTCATATGCAAAAAATCTATGTGAATACAATTTGGTGTTATAGTTTTACATAATTATGAATGATTGTTAATGCCTTTCAAAGTAAGTTTATAACAGGGTTAAATTTGTATGACTTAGAGCGCAATTGATATTTTTTTTAATTCTAATCTAAATATAAAGATAAAAATCAACCAACATATTAACTATATAATTACATAAAATCTAAGGGGCATTTGCACCATTCATAAAAATTACATTTGATTTCTCTTTAGATTCTATAGTCAACCACCACCATGAATGTATTTTAGCATTATGCACAATTGCATATGAATCACCCATAGTATTACTGAATAAGATATCATTTCTTAGCCTTCATATATTTAAGGGGTTGTTTGGGAGTTAATTTTTTACAGGGTTTTGGAGGGAATTTTTTTTTTAAGGTTGCATCTATCTCTAGAAATATATTTGAAAATTTTATAAAGTTTAAAAAGCAATATAATCTTATATGCTAATGTAATCACTTGAAAAGCTTATCTTCCCACAACAGACGCATAAGGAACACATTTCATATGAAAAACTTCATCTTCACTTGAAGGACTTTGATTAGAACTCAATTTGAAATGACTAGCAAGAGGAGTGCTCACCGCCTTAGAACTTTCCATTTGGAATCTTTGTAGCACTATTTTGATATAATGTTCTTGTGACATTCAAAGTTTCTTCTCTTTTATGTCACACATGATTTTAATGCCAATAATTTGTTTAGCTTCTCCCATACCTTTCATGGAAAATGACTCTCTCAACTACTTCTTTAACTTGATAATGTTAGAAATATATTTTCCTATAATAAGTATATCATCAACGTATAACAAAAGGATAATAAAGTCATCATTAGAAAATCTTCTAACAAAGATGCAATGATCTGAAGTAGCTTCTAGTATCCTTTGTAAGAACAAAAAATGTTTCTACATCTGACCTTAAGATTTTGATGATAACTTTACATGATATCATAAAGAACAATTGTACACTCTAATAGTTTTGTTCTAGTGTGTAGTTGTTGCTGTAATATTTTAGATCTAGTATCAATGTGTGTAACGTCATCAAATTCTAAACATAAATACTACTTGATGAAAACATGTGGTTACATGTTACAATTAAAGTCAAGATTCTAGAATTCATCTCATGCAACGAGTCTTAGGAACGTTAGTACAGGAAATTCTGATCGTGACTTTATGGTTAAGCTTTGGATGCCTTCTAAAGCTTTGCTTCTGGATGTTACAAGTTCTGAAGATCATGAAGACAAGGTTCTGCTGAATAAGTTATGATAATCCAAAGAAAAGAAAGTTCTTACAACCAAGTGTTGAAGACTCTGGAGACGAGGTTCTGATATGACAAGTTCTGAAGACTCCAAGACTTAGGTTCCAAGAATTAAGAGTGAGTCTTCTACAACAAGCTTCAAACATTCAAATTATCTGAAGCCTTTGAAGATAAGAAGAAGTTCTAAATGGTTAACGCGTGATGGTGTTTAAAAGGTACAAAAAGTGCTATGTGACCTCTATCCCCTAGGGTGATGTAAGGACGGTCCTTTCATACTATACAGTGACCACTCTCATTATGATTGTTTAGAACAAATAACTTTTTTTTGCGATTACCTTTCTACCCTTGCAACAGATTTCTTTTACAAACTATAAAAGAAAGACTTGGAAGCTGAAGAAATATAAAAATCAACATTACACAAATCTATCGGATAAAATCAAGCTCAAGCAAAACTACGCAAAAGCGATGTGAAAACTCTTTAGAGAAATCTTATGTGTATATTTTATAAATAAGTAAGGAGTTATTGCTCGTATCTTGCTGTAAAACGCTTAGGTGTTTTTCTTTGTACTGAAACGTCTGTGTAATCTGCTTAGAAGAAACAAACTGTAGTACACTGAAAGTATTCAACTGTTGTTGATTCCTTGAGAGATCAAGTGAAGGTCAGGTTTAAAGAAGACTCTTGTTGCAGTTTGAGTAGATTTACAATAAGGATCGACGGACTTATTAGGGGTGCCAATAAGGTTGATATGACTTATTGTGGATTATCTGTAATCAGTTTGGTTATAGTGGATTAAGTCCTTGTTGAAGGAAAATCACCTTGCAGGGTGGACTGGAGTAGCTTAGTTAATAGTGAACCAGGATAAAAATAATTTTGTTCATTTATTTTTATGTTCTAAGTTAACTTGGTCTTTCATCAACGAAAAAGGTTCAAAATTTATTTTGGTGAAACCAAATGCAAACCCCCTTTACTTTGTTTCTCAAACCTTTAATTGGTATCAGAACTCTGGATCTAGTATTGATAGTTATCAAACACTTAATCGTGTCAGATAAAGATCCAGACGAGTTTTTCTTTGAAGAAACATAATGGTTGAACCCACACCAACTAATAATGTTTTAGATTCAAACGAAAAAATATATAATGTAAAACCTCTCATCTTTGATGGTGAAAATTTTAAATACTAGAAAGTTTCTTTCTAGGTCATGATTTTGATCTTTAGGATTTGGTAGTTGATGGCCACGTATCTCCCACATATGCTACTGGAAAAGAAATAGCTAGAAGAGTTATGACTGATCAACAAAAGAAAGATTACAAGAATCATCATAAAGAAAGAACCATCTTACTGAATATGATTTATTATACTGAGTATGAGAAGGTCACAAATAGAGACTCTGCTAAGTCTTTATTTAACTTCTTAAAATGACTCATGAAGGAAATGATCAAGTCAAAGAAACCAAGGCGCTAGCCTTGATTCAGAAGTATGAAGCCTTCAAAATGGAGGATGATGGAAGCGTTGAAGTCATTTTCTCAAGATTTCAAACCTTGGTTGCAGGACTGAGAGTTCTGAACAAAGGATATGCAACGGCATATCACGTGAAGAAGATTATCAGAAGCTTGTCATCCAAATAGGGGCCTATGGTAACTGACTTATGCTTGCAAAGGATCTGAATAACACTTCTCTAGAAGAATTGATAAGTTCTTTAAGAAGTCATGAGATTGAAATAGAATAAGATGAACCACAGAAGAAGATAAAGTCTATTTCCCTCAAGTCCATTAAGAAATCTGAGAATTTCAAAGCTCTTCAATCAGAAGAGATAGAGGATTCAGAATAAGATCTTGATGATGAAGAAGATGATTTGTCTCTACTATCCAAAAGGGTTAACCGTCTCTGCAAGAGAAATCGAGGCAACAAGTTCAGAAGTTCAAGAAGGACTGGAGGTCAATTTGAGTCAACTTCTAGTTAAAGGAAGTCTAGTGGAAACAAAGTCACTTGTTATGAGTGCAATGAGCCATGACACTACAAGCATGAATGTCCTAAGCTTCTAAAGGACATACCAAAGAAGAAAGCTTTCAAAGGCAAAAAGTAAGGGCTAATGGCAATATGGGATGATTCAGACTCTTCTGATTGCGACTTAGATGGAGATCAGGCTAATGTGACGCTGATGGCTCATGTTGGAACATCAAGTGAAGCAACGCCCCCAAAAGATGAAGCTAATTCAAAAACAGAAGAATTATTATGCAAAGAGGTATTCTCTGATCTTACTCATTCCGAATTAACATTTTCCTTAGTTGAAATTCTGGAAAAACATGAGTTACTTAAGATTCAGTTCAAGGATCTCAAAAAGTCCCATGAATTTGTATCTGTTGAAAACAATAAGCTTAAGGAAGAAATTTTTATTTTAAAAGAAGACATTTTTTACCAAAAGAGGAAAACTCTGCCCTTAAAGGAACGAGAACTCTTCTAGAAGCCTCTGAGAGTACTGATGATATCATTAAGAAATATGATAAAGCCTTCCAGAAATTTCTAGCAAAGTGAATAAGGAGAAGCGGGCTAGCTTCTATATAGGAAGAAATTAAGTTAAAGGTATTGGTTATGATCCTCGTGATAAATTTAAATCTAATAAGTAAAACATACCAACAACCTTACACTCACATTTTATGTCTACTGGGTATGTGCCACAAGAAGATGGAAAAGATGAAGAGAAATATGATTCTGAATTTGATGATAATTAATTGGCTAAACCAAATAGCTTTAATACTTGCAAATATGATTATTCTACTGCTGAAACCAAAGTTGTTCACAACTCTGGTAGAACTAACAAGAGAGGACCCAAGAAATTATAGGTACCAAAAGATAAGATAATCTATGTTGCAAATATTCTTAGCAGTGCAATTGAATCACCATTCCTGGTTCCTGGACTCTATGGGAACAAGGAATGTATTCTAAAGCCTGGAACTTAAGCCTGAAAATATCATGAGTTTGGGAGGTGACCAAAATTGGAATATCATAGGCTCTGAAACAATAGATCATTGGAACTTCTGCATATTGATTTTCTTAGACCAGTAAAAGCTAAGTCAATCAATGGAAAGAAGTATGGATTAGTTATCTAAGAAAACTACAGCAGGTGAACATGGGTTATGTTTCTCCTGTCCGAGAACTCCACAACAAAATGGAGTTCTTGAAAGGAAGAATAAGACTTTGCAAGAAATATTTAGGACCATGGCCAATGAAACCAATATGGCAAAGAACTTTTGGGCAAAGGCTGTAAACACAAAGTGTTACATCCAGAACAGTGTCTCCATAAGACCTATTCTTAGAAAGTCTCCTTATGAATTATGGAAGAACAAGAAACCCAACATTTCATATTTTCATATCTTTGGAGGCTCTTGTTTTATCCTAAACACTAAAGAAAATCTGAAAAAAGTTTGATTCAAAAGCTCAAAGTTGTATCAAGTTAAGATGTTTTAAACGCTCAAAAGGCTACAAAGTATATAACACTGAAACACTCTCTGTTGAGGAATAAATTCATGTTAGATTTAATGATAAGATTGACTCTGAAAAGTCAAAGCTAGTTGGTAAACTTGCAGGTGTGGAGACTACCCTTTCAGAATCTGAAGTTAATGAAGCTACTGCTGAAGTGCAAGAACCTAGAA